GGTTGCCAGAAGTTAGGGATCAGAGGAGAGATATGCAAGAGAGAGGTAGGTGTGGTGATAAAGGACAACAGTAATGATCCCTGTGTTCAGGATCTTGACTACGGTGGTGCATGCATGAACCTATGCAAGTGAGAAAACTTTATAGAATTTAATGCACACACACGGGTACAACAAACACTGGGGAAATCTGACTCTGATGGCTGAATTGTACCAATGTCAATGTCCTGGTTGTCATATTATACTACAGTTTTATAAAATGTTACCATTGGGGGAAACTGGGCAAGACTCACAAAGGATATCTCCGTGTTAGTCTTACAACTGTATGAATCTATAATATCTCAATAAAAATTTCAGTTAAAAATGAATTTGAGATGCATGAGAGGCCTAAATGTAAATTTTAATAATTTCTTTCATTATAATTTTAAAAAATAATTCCTCTTCTAACTACTTTAAAATCCCTGGAAGAACATAAGGGGAATATCTTCATGACCTGGGGGTAGGTAAAGTTTCCTTAGGAAAAGATTTCTTAGACAGGGCAAAGAAAACAGTAAAATAGACCAAAAAGTTGATAAATCAAATTTCATCAAAATTTTAAAATGTCTGGTCATTAAAGCCATCAGAGTCACCTCAGGCTGGCAGCTGGGGGCAGAGGGTGGAGGAGGCCACGTCTGATACTTCACCACTTGGGCCCAGAAGCAACACTCCTCGCTTCCACCCTGACTGAGGGAAGCTAGCCAACTGGCGCCACCTGGCTGCGCGGGATGGGGTGGCCATTGTGACCTTTGGGATGGGGCCTCCCAGCAATGACCCTTTACTCTGAAAAGAGAGCCTGATACCTTAACAACAACAACAACAACAATGGCTTTCCTGTCAAGAAACTTTAAAAGACACTGTCTCTTTCCACAGCATTCCTGAAAGGTGGGTATTATACTGCCCATTTCAAAGAGGAGGAAACTGACGCTGAAGAAGTTGAAGGAGCTCACCCAGGTAAGAAGCTCACACAGGTCGGAGGCAGTAGGTCCAGGACCCAACTCAAGCCTGACAGATTCAAAAGCTCCCAGTTCTGTGACTCCAGCTGCCTTCCTCACAGCAGGTCACAGTAGGGACATGCCGTTACTTGTGGAAAAAGAAAACAGGCTATCTGGAAGCAGAGAGGCGTCAGCCTAGGCAGAGCTGTATGCACACATTCTTACCATCCAACATGAGAAACTGGAAGGTAGCTGGGGAAACAACAGCCCACTTTGGTTTGCGATTTGCTCGTAAAGCGAGTAGGTCCTTTCTTGTTTTACAGTCACAGCCCAGTTTTGAAGTGTTTTCATAAAGAAAATGCTCCTGGTGTCCAATTCGGATCACAGGAAGGTTTCCCTTGAGCAAACCACCACCTTGTGGCAATGACATGACTTGCAGGAGAAAGAATAAGGTTTTTTGTTTTTCCAATCTTTCAGACTCCAAAACACAGCAGTTACCATTAAAGTTAGAAGTTTTGGCATTAAACAAAGCAAAACAAGCGAACAAAAAAGCACCTCCCTCAGGGCTGATCTAATTAAAATAGATGTCTGTGAAAAAGACATCTGACTTTGGGCAAAGCAATCGAATCACTGACCCATATCATAAAATATGTGAAAGATGGAAATTTCATTAAATCAAGATGTAAAAAGCTGGAGTGACCCAAAGTGATCCATTTGGGGGAAAACTGATTAGGTTCCATTTTGTCCAAACTGTTCACTTTTGAAAGTAAAAGTGTTGCCATTAATAATTGCATGAGACAACAGATGTAAAGTGGAGATATCTCAGGCAAACCGGGACACATGCTTCCCCTAAATTTGTTTCTGAGGTTCAGCCTGGCAAAGATATGACCACATTTTTTAGTAGAGATCAAGTGGTAAGAAATCTAACCCTTTCCAAAAGAATAAAAAGGCAACCTCTATTGTGCTGGCAGGAGGAGTTTAGTATCTGATTTGAATTTTATTTTGGGAACAAATTTTAAGGGCAATTTCCAACCAGTCAAGAGCTTGAGCAACCACCACCCTGTGGCAACAAACGTCACTCGCATCTTGCAGACCCAGTTTGCAATGCTGTGTCTTACAGACGCCCCTGTATAGAGGTGTCACAGTTTGATTATTCATTCACCTATTGAAGGACATCTTGGTTGCTTCCAATTTCTGGTGAGTATGAATAAAGCTGCTGTAAACATTTATATGCAGGCTTTTGTGCACACATAAGTTTTCAAATTAGTTGGGTAAATATGTAGGAACACAATTGCTGGATCATATGGTACGACTGTACTTAGCTTTGTAAAAAACTGCCAGACTGTCTTCCAAAATGGCTGTATCATTTTGCCTTCCCGCTAGCAATAAATGAGAGCATCTGTTGCTTGGACCTTCATCAGCATTTAACATTCTCAGGGTTTTTTTTATTTTAGCCGTTCTAAAAGGCGTGAGAAGTATCTTATTGTTCTAATTTGTAATTCCCTAACGACAAACGAGGAAGAGCATCTCTTTCATTTGCTTACTTTCCATCTCTGTATCTTCTTTGGTGAGGTATTTCTTCTGATCTTTGGCCCATTTTTAATTGTGTTGTCTGTCTTCTTATTGTGAGTTTTGTATATTTTGGATAAAAGTCCTTTATCAGATATGTCTTTTGGAAATAGTTTCTCACAGTCTATGGCTTGTCTTCGCATTCTCATAACAGTCTTTTGCAAAGCACAAGTTTTTAATTTTAATAAAGTCTGACCTACAAATTTTTTCTTTCATGGATCATGCTTGTGGTGCTGTGTCTAAAAAGTCAGTGCCAAATCCAAGATCACCTGGATTTTCTCTTATGTTTCCTTTTAGAAGTTTTATAGTCTTGCGTTTTACATTTACATTTATGATCCACGTTGAGTTAATTTTTGTGAAAAGTGTAAGATCTGTGATCAGAGTCATGTTTTTGCAAAAGGATGTCCAATTATTCCAGCATCATTTTTTGAAAAGACTATCCTTTCTCCATTAACTTTCCTTTGCCCCTCTGTCAAACATTAGTTTTGTACATTTGTCTAGGTCTATTTCTGGACTCTCTAGTCTGTTCCATTGATCTATGTATCTATTCTTTAAATATAAAACCATGCTGTTTTGCTTATAGCAGCTTTATAGTAAATTCTGAAGTCCAATAGTGTCAGCTCTCCAACGTTGTTCTTTTTCGTCAGTATCGTATTGGCTATTCTCGGCCTGTTACCTTTTCATATAAACTCTAGAATCAGGTTGTTGATATTCACAAAATAGCTTGCTGGGATTTTGCTTGGCATTATGTTTAATCTGTAGATCACACTGGGAAGAAGTGACATCTTAACAATATCGATTCTTCCTCTCCACAGACATAGAATATGTCTCCATTTATTTAAATCCTTTCAAGTTCTTTCATCAGCTGTTATTGATTTCTAGTTTAATTCCATTGTGGTCTGAGAACATACTCTATGATTTCTATTCTTTTAAATTTGTTAAGGTGTGTTTAAGACCTGGAATGTGGTCTATCTTGGTGAATGTTTCATGTGAACTTGAGAAGAATCTGTATTCTACTGCCGTTGGATGAAGTATTGTATCAATGTCAATTAGGTTGATGTTGTCGTTCAGTTTAACTATATGCTTGCTCATTATCTGCCTGCTGGATCTATTCACTACTAAAAAAGTTGTGTTGAAGTCTTCAATTATAATAGTGGTTTATCTATTTTTTCTTGCAGTTCTAGCCTCATGTATTTTGATGTTCCTAGGTGAATACATATTAGTATTAATTAATTAATTAATACTAATAACATAATTATTGTCATGCCTTCCTGGAGAACTGCCCCTTTAGCTTTATGTGATGCCCTCTCTTTATCCCTGAGGAATCTCCTTGTTCTGAAGTCTGCTCTGCCTGAAATTAATATAACTACTCTAGCTTTTTTTGGGGTTAGTGTTAGCATGGCATAGCTTTCTCCGCCTCTTTTAAATTATCTGCGTCTTTATATTTAAAGTGGAGGTCTTGTGGAGAACACACAGTTGGGCCTTATTTTTTAATCCACTGACAATCTCTGTCTTTTAATTGGTGTAGACTATTCATACCATGTTTGTAAGTGTTTTATATTTGTTCCACTTGACTTTCATCTCTAAATTTTGAATGTGAATTTTGTATTCTTTATCTTAAAGAGAACGCTTCAGATCCCTCAAAACCTGCACCTACCGCTGCTCGACATGCATTAAGTAACGGTAGAAAAGGTGCAGGCCAGCCCGGCGGTGCAGGAGAGGCTCAGGGATTCCGGGATGCAGCTGCATAGTACATGGATGCACCGGGTCTTTGCTTGCTGGGTCCAAATCCCCCAGACACTGACAAACGCTTCAGCCAATGAGAGCGTTCCTACCGTCCAATTCTGACTTAAGGGGCGGGACTCCCTCCTGCCTTATTGCCTTGTCTAGAGTGGGCGTGGCTTACGTGTACGATTGTTTATCACCTGGCCAATTTGGTGCGGCCCTGTGTTGCCATGACGACCGTGGCTAGGTCACTGCAGACTCGGTTGGAAACTCTCACAGCGCGTTGAGGTCCGTGTACCTGTCGAGAGATCGTTCACGGTGGTTCAGCTTCCCAGGAATACACTGGAACAGTAGGGATAGCAGGGTTCTGTGGCCTTTTTCCACCCTAATTCCTCGGCGGGCGCTCCGATGCCTGCCGGGCTGCGTCGCCTGGAGCCCCCACTCGGGCCTCTGCGCGCGTCCCTTGGCTGGCTCTGGGGCGAGGAAGGGGCTTCGCAAATCTGCAGAAAACCCGCCCCCCGAGCCGCAAGCCCCCGGGCTGCAGGCTCGGCCTCCCTCGTGGGGTGTTCGTTTTCCACCTGTGCGTTTATTTTCTGCCACTTATAAGCACCTTAAAGGGACGAGGGGCTTTGTCTGGAGGAAGCTCTTGGCTTGCTGATCCACGCAGCGGTTTGCCTCGAGGCTGCGGCCGGGGAACGGCCTGAGCCCGCGGTAACAGTGCTTCTGTCTTCTTTGCAGAGCCATGGGCAGCAAGAAGAAGGAAATTGCCTTGCAGGTAAGCCTCTAGGGGCGCTTGCTTCCTGCACTTGGTTGGGGTTGGGGACGAGCAGGATGGTGTGGAGCGGGAAGTGCAGTATGAAAGTGATATTGTCGGGAAGTGCAGTATGAAAGTGATATTGTTTGCCAGCAGTCTATTACAGCCAGTGTTCTCAAACTTGAATATGGTACCTTCCGTCTTAAAGGAAAAAAACTTATCTTGGACCCCTAGTGATGACAAATTTTTTGTGCACTTAAATATAAACAAACATAAAATTGGGTGTAAGCTCTTTATGGTTAGAGTACTTATGTAATGGTAAAACCCAAACATGCGTTAAAAGAAAATAAAACTACAAAACCGAGAAAATATGAATCAATATAATTCGATGTGACTTTTTTGTTGAAATACAATTGCCACTTGCTGTGGGAATCTGATATAGGTTCTTTTGAGTCTGGGCACACGTCTGTAGCTGAGTGCTCTCCAGAGATCCAGTTCTCCTACCACTGCTGTCATCAATCATTCGCTTATTCAAAGTAGATTTTGATATTTTATGTGCTGCACATTCGTTATATGGAGTGCCTTACTTACTTTGCGCCTGGGACAAGTGAATCCGTAAGCCAGTGTCTCTGCTCTTTTTTTCTTGGTCCTGGACAATAATTAGTGGGTGATTCTACAGTGATGGTAAACATGCAGGCGTAGCTGGAACTGGGAGGGAGGGCTTCGTCATCAGGAGATCATCTGATGATCTGTAATATGGGTACATTTTAAAGCAAACCTTAAAACGTCTCCTAGTCAACTTGGCCCATCAGGATAAATGCCAGGCTACAGGCACCGCCTGGAGACTAGAGAGCAGCAGCAGTCCTGAGCCACCTGATTCCTTTCATTGTTCTCGTGGCACCAGGAATTTGCATGTGAATTTCAAAACACTAGTGATTTAAAAAAGGGAGAAAGCAATGTCTGTCTAAGGATTGCATTTACTGGGAGGGGGTTGGCGGGGGAGGGAAGAGCTTTGAATTGGAAGTCAGAAGACCTTATGTAGTTCTTGACTCTTCTCTCAGCCAACTCTGGGACTTTGTATACATCATGTAAACTCTCTGGGCTATAGCTTGTCCATCGTAGACAAGCATTGATGTTCTAGCAGTCCAGAGTTATGAAACTTCATGTGTCTATATTCTGTCTGTAAATAAATCCTAAGGACCCGGTCCTACCACTTAGTGCCGTGTGAACGAGTTCTTCAACCTCTCGGACCCTCCACACCCTTTATGAAAACAGGAGGGATGTTACATAACCTGCAGAGTTGTGGCAAGAGACTCCTTTAGACACTTCTAGGATGGTCTGAATGCTGTCTGTGGTGGCTCTAAGATTTTTGCCCCATATGATTATCTTTTTGTGTGTCTATGCCCAAATCTCCTTTGGGGGTAATAACATTTTTTAGCAATTTTTTTTAAATGTATATTCCCCAGAGCCCTGAGTTCAATGCGGTACTCAAAGTAAGTGCTCCCATTTGCTGAGGGAGGAGGCAGTGGTGTGCCTGGAGGCGTCCGTGTGGGCACTGCCTCTCCACCAGGTCAGCTCCTTAAAAGCAGTGCTCAAGGGTCTGCCAAGCCAGGAACTCTGTCCTCTCTCTGGGTAAGACTATTTAGGATTCCTTTTGTGACTGAGATGGAAATCGCAGGACATCAAGAGACAGCCTGGTTGAAAGTGCCAGAGGGGCTGGCCCGGTAGCTAGTAGTTGAGTTCCTGGGCTCTGCTTCAGCGGCCCAGGGTTCACATGTTTGGATCCCAGGCATGGACCTACACACTGCTCATCAAGCCATGCCGTGGTGGCATCCCACATAAAATAGAGGAAGATTGCCACAGATATTAGCTCAGTGACAATCTTCCTTAAGCAAAAAGGAAGATTGGCAACGGATGTTAGCTGAGGGCCAATCCTCACACACACACAATTGCCACACATTCCCCATTCATTCCCTACAATGTAGGGCTTGGTGAAGTCCAGCTATTTCCCGTTCTGTTCTGCTCCCGCCCTGCTCCTCCGAGTGAGATTCTTCCACTGCCCACAGAGTCCTGGCCCCACTGCTGATGTGGCTCCCTCCACGACAGGGGTGCACTGCGGAGAGTTGCCACTGGCTGACAGCTGAGCCTCTGAGACTGACTATTATGAGAGAGAGGCTGGGGGTGGGGGGTTCTTCTGAATCCTCTGTCGCTTTCCTCAGGACCATAGTTATGGGCCCAGGATGACATCAGTCCAGCTCTCTTACCTCATTTAAGGCATCAAGAAGAAGGCTTTTCTGTTTTTTGTCCTTTTTTATCCTTTGAAACAAAAAAGTATGGAAGCATGATTTCCTTGAAAGATGGATCTTTAATAAAGGATTTGCGGATGTTACATGTTTCCAGCCCTTTTAAAGGGACAAAGACCTTAACACACCTGTACTAAGAATGAGTGGTAATTGTCATGGTCTTTTAATTTATATAGTTTCAAGGTAGCTCCCCACAAAACGTATTAATTACAAAGGGAAGAGGAACAATTTCACAGTGTAGAAGCCTGACACCACCTTAATCAAGTGATCAAAGTGAACATCATCCGTAATGGGGCAGATCGAAACTGTGTCACCTGACAAGATGCAGTGAGAAGAACATTCTTCCACTTCTCTGGCACTCCAACCAGTTCCAACCAATCCAATCAGTTCCAACCAATTACAACCAATCCAACCAGTTTTAACCAATTCCAGCTAGTTCCAACCAATCCAACAAATTCCAAACAATTCCAACCAATCCAATCAATTCCAACCAATCCAACCAGTTCTAACCAATTCCAACCAGTTCCATCCAATCCAACCAGTTCCAAACTATTCCAACCAATCCAACCAATTCCAACCAATCCAACTGCTTCCAACCAATTACAACCAATCCAACCAGTTCCAACCAATCCAACCAGTTCCAACCAATCCAACCAATTCCATTCAATCCAACCAGGTCTAATCAATCCAACCAGTTCCAAACAATTCCAACCAATCCAACCAGTTCTGACCAATCCAAAGATGCACAGCCTGAATCTAATCAGGAGGAAACATCAAACACACCCAAACTGAGGGACATTCTACCCTCTTGTAGTCTTCAAAAGTGTCAAAGTCATGAAAATCAAAGAAAGACTGAAAAACTGTTCCAGATGGAAGAGACCAAAGAGACTTGACAAATCAATTCAGCATCTGGTTCTGATTAGATCCTGTGCTATTCAGGACATTACTGGGGTGACTGGTAAAACTTGAATGGGGTCTGAGTATGAGAGAGTCATAATGCATCGTGTTTATTTCCTGATTTCAATGGTTGTATCACGGTTATGTGGGATAATGTATTCAGAGATAATAGGATATCAGGTTTGTCATTTACCTTCAAATAATTCAAGCAAAGGTTCTTGATACTGTACTTGCAAATTTTCTGTAAGTTTGAAATTGTTTCAAACTAAAAACGTTATACAAAAATATACATTATTAATAATGTACTATGTATGATATGATATATATATCTCTCCTTGAATTTCATTTATGACATAAACCAGAATATTTCTTAAGTAAGAGAAAAATGTGAAGAGATGGCAATAAATTCAACTGTTAATTATTTCTGATGTGGATGTTTGGATATATTTAACAAAAGATGTGCCAAAAGTATACACTGAAAACTACAAAACATTGCTGAGAAAATTAAGGAAGATTTAATAAATGATGAGAAACATGTTCCTGAACTGGAAGATTTCAGTTTTGTCCCAAATTGTTCCATAGATTCAATGCAGTCCCAATTAAAATCTGTGCAGGAGTTTTTGCAGAAATTGACAAGCTGGTTCTAAAATGTATATGGTAATGCAAAGGCCCTAGAAAAGCCAAAACAATCTTGAAAAAGAAGAATAAATATGGAAACCTGACACTGCCTGAGTCCAAGACTTATTATAAAGCTATAGTAATCAAAATAGTGTGGTACTGGCAAAAGAACAGACTAAATAGGTCAATGAGATAGAATAGAGTCCAGAATAAACCCATACTATTCCGTCAGTTGGCTTTCAATAAAGATGCCAAAGCAATTTAATGGTAAAATAAATCTTTTCAACAAAGTTTGCAGAAACAACTGTATCACTTCATGGAAAAAAAATTAACCCCAATCCTTCCCTCACAATATAGACAAAAATTAATTTCAGATGACTTGCAGGCTTAAATTAAATTAAAGCACATGAAATAGTGCTCAGCACCCCTAGTGATCAGGGAAATGAAATTAAAGCCACAGTGAGATACCATTATGTTACCATCAGTGTGACTAAAATTTAAAAGACTGACATCACTAAGTTTTGGTGAGAACCTGGAGCAACCACAACTCTTATGCTTTGCTGATGGAAGTTTAAAGTGGTACAACCACTTTAGGAAAAGTGGTGGCTGTTTCTTATGAAATTGAACAGACATTTACCCTGTGTCTGAGCGGTTCCACTCCCAGATATTGACTTACTGAAGACAAATGAAAACATGAATAGAAGAGGATTTAACAAGAATGTTCATAAGTCTTTATTTATAGCCCCAAACTGGAAGTAACCCAAATATCTATCAAGCAGATTATGATATCGTCATACAGTGGAACATGCTCAGGAATAAAAATGGACAAGCTACTGACACACGACTACACAGAGGAGTCCCAGAAGTACGCTGACTGAAGGAAGCCGGCACAAAATAATACATGTTGTATTGTTTCATTTGTAGGAAGTTTTAGAACAGACAAAACGAATCTATCGTGACAGAAAGCAGATCGGTGTTTACCTGGGGTGAGGGGTGGGGAAGGGCTGAGAGGAGACACGGTAGAATGTTCTGGGGTGATGGAAGTGTTCTGTAGTGTAATAGGGGTATGTATGCTTTTGTCAAAACTCAAAGAACTGTAACACTTTAGTTCTGTGTATTTCACTGGACGTAAATTATATCTCAATAAAACATAAAAAGACAAAAAAGAAAAAGTGAATGAATACCTCTCTGTACATAAATATAGGTAAATGTCAAAACAATGTTGAGTGAAAACACAAATTGCAAAAAGTTATCTATTGTATGATATTATTGAGGTACATTTTATGGACACAAAACAACTTTATATATTGGTTTTGGACAAGTAATAAGTAAAACATTATTTTTTTAAATGACAGATTTTCTTAGGATAGCGGTTATTCCTGAGGATGGAGGCAGGAAGAAAGAGAAGGAGAAAACAAGATCGGGGAAGGAGGCCAGCTTAGGCTGTGTCTGTAACTATTTCATGGAGAAGGAGAGAGAGACAGAGGGCTAGAGATCTGGAGCAAATACATCAACTCGTTTCCCCATCAGTGCCCTGGGTCATACAGTGTTTGTTTCTCTTTGATGTTAGGTCAACATCAGCACCCAGGAGCTTTGGGAGGAAATGCTCAGTTCCAAAGGATTAACTGGTAATTTAAGATAATTTTTTAGATCCTTCTTTTGCAAAATTGCTAAATGATGTCTTGAACCCTGAAGAGAAAAGCTGCAGTAAGCACCATTTTCCTATATCCTTGAGTTTCATAAGTAAGGAACCAGGTGATTTCTTTGTGTATGTGTGCGCGCATGTGTATACATACATACATACATATATATATCTGGCTTGAACATGTTCATAAGTTCAGTTCAGGCACCTGGTCAGTACTGCTGGATAACAGGCTTTCCTTGTTTCAGAGCTGACTGTCTTACTCAGGGGTTGTTTGCTGTTAAGGAACAGAAACCTCTCCTAATGGCCTGAGGCATGAGAGGGGAAGCAGTGGAAGGAATTCAGGGATCTCTTGGAACACAGGGGCTGGAAGGAGAGCCAGGCATCCGAAGGGCCCGGAACCAGGGGCTGCACAGTCATTAGGAAACAGCACAGCCACTGTCCCTGGGCCCCCTCGTCTCTATCCTCCTTGTATCAGTTATCTATTGCTGGGCAACAATTTACCCTGAAACTTAGTGGTTTGAAATGACACCCATTTACTATCCCCCAGTTTCTGTGGGTCCGGAATCCAGGTGTTGCTTAGCTGGGCGCCTCTGGCTCAGGGTCTCTCACCAGGCTGCAGTTTAAGAGTCACACAGCGGGAGCCGACCCCTTGGCTGAGTTGTTAAGTCCACACGCTCCGCTGCAGTGGCCCAGGGTTTGCTGGTTCGGATCCTGGGCGCGGACATGGCACTGCTCATCAGGCCATGTTGAGGCAGCGTCCCACATGACACAACTAGAAGGACATGCAACTAAGATGTACAACTATGTACCAGGGGGATTTGAGGAGATGAAGCAGGAAAAAAAAAAAAAAGGTTGGCAACAGTTGTCAGCTCAGGTGCTGGTCTTTAAAAAAAAAAGAAAAAGAGTCACACAGGGAATGTCAAGGCTCAGCTAGACTCAAATTTGCTCCCAAGCTCGGTGTTGTGGCTTTGGCAGATCTTAGAACGTCACTTCCAAGTTCATTCATGTGGCTATTGACAGGACTCAGGTCCTTGCCAGCTGTTGGCCAGAGACATCAATTCCTCCAAAAGGTTTTACAACATGGTAACTTTCTTCCCTCAGAGCAGGCCAAGAGGGAAGGCGGGAGAGAAAGAGAGAGAGAGACAGAGAGGAAAGTCATAGTCTTTTGTAACATAATTTCAAGAGTGACATCTTTTGCCCTATTCTATTAGAAGCCGTCACTAGGTCCAGCCTGCGCTCCAGTGCAGGGGATCACACAAAGGCGTAAATCCCAGGAGACTGGCCCACCTTAGAGGCTGCCTACCACCCCCGCTGCTCCACTATTCCTCTCTCTTCTTTGTCTACTCTAGACATCTCTGGGCTGTTTTTCTCTGTGTCTGCTCACGTCTTCTCTCTATAAATACACCTGCTCCGTCAGCTTGTGTTTGCTCTTCTCTCTCTCCGCCACCCCCCTCACCAAAGGACTTCAGCATTCAAACCCCTCTCCCCCTTCCCTCTCTCATGGCTCAGTTTGTCTTTCCAGCCCCTTCACCCTCTGTTCCCTGAGGTGTGTCCTGAGCTCCAAACTGTTTCCTAACATGCCACAAGTTCTCTTTCTTCACTTTTATCCGTGTTGTTCCTACTACCTGGAATATCATGGCCCCATCACACCCTGTACTTCCTCACTCCCAGGCCCTGCTCCAAAGCAGCCTCCTTGCGCGAAGTCTTTCCTGAACCTCTGTGTCGTCACCTCCCCCTGGGGGTCTCTAGGGCATTTGGGGTGGGACTCTGTCTCAACGCCCCCAGCAGACACCCAGCTTGGTGGGACCCCTGCGTGGGTGAGCACCCTCATGGCTTTCCCCATAGACTGTCAACACAGGGGCGTTGTCTTGTTCATCTCGTCTGGAGCAGACTTGTCCGGGCCTGGCTGCTGGTTAAATGTGGTTGCCTTGACCCAGTAGCGTAGTGAGGAGTTGCCACCCTCTACTACTTGAGGGATTACAAAGCCTTTTTGACGGTGCCAGGTCGTAACTCTTCTGTCCATGTGTCTTGTCTGTGCAACTAGAACATGCCTCCAGGGCAAAACCACCATGACTTCTATTTCTTTACCACCAGTAAGAAAACTACCACCTCATCACTTTTTGAGAATCTGCCTGTGTTCCGGGCACCTGATGTGATCCTGGTGAGAGTGTCGACTCTGTCAAAGCCTGCTCTAAGCCGTGCAAGGGAACTGTGTTGGCTGAAGGCAGCAGGGGCCCATCTGCCCCTTCTCGTCAGGCAGTCTCGAGGAAGACATGCTCCTCCTTCTTTCTGGAGCCAGCAGAAATTTGCCTCCCAAGTCAACCACCATCTTGGAAGTCTTGCCTTCTTCTGGCTCATTTTCATCTGCCTTCAAACATGCAGAAGTCTACTCAGGTTTACACACACACACACACACACACACACCCCTGCACAGGTTTTTGTATTCCCTGCCATTCTTCTCCTTCAGGTGTCTTTTCTATTTTGCTTTCTGTCTTTCAGAGTCAAACTTTTCGGAGTCCTCTCCAGTCCCCAGGCCCCCATAACCTTGTGAAGTGTACCTTTGTCCCCGCCACTCCATGGGGCACCAGGGAGTGCAAGAGGAGATGGGAAGCTCATACAAATGACTGGGCTGAACTACCAAGTCAAATCCTGCGTAGAGATTGGTTGCTAATTGGGCCCCCAATTTTTTCCCACTGGGGCTTGAACCTGCTCTCCTTGGTGGGCCTGGATATAGGGTCCTCTTAGTCTTCAAGGACTTTTTCCTTACTTGACCCAAATGCCTTTCTCCCTCAACGGTGAGGCTGCTGTCCTTAGAGAAGCCCAGAGCTTTATCCTCTGTCTGATGCTAAGGCCCCAGTCCCTCTCTCCTGCCCCTGCTGGGGTCTGGTTGCCTCTGAGACCACTTGCCTTAGATTCTCCGGTTGGTACTGGAGACCCAGCGTGTCTAGAGTCGAGTTCACTTTTCTCCCTCCCCAAATGCTCTCTCCCTGCCCCACCCAGTTCTCTCTGCCAGGCTCCAAGGTGGAGTCCTTTTCACACCCACTCGACTTTCCTCCCCAGTTCTCTCCACTTCCTTTTCAAAGTCTCATGGATTCCCCTGTTCCTCCCCTCCCATCGACACTGCCACCCCCGTGTCTGGCTTCCTTATCCCTCCCACACCCAGCTCGGCTCACTTTCTTTCTGCAAAACTGTGCTGCCTGGCTGAACTAACCAAGACTGCTGAATCTGTGCATCCTGCTTCTTTCCTGGGGGAGTTGAAAGAGCATGGGCTTCAGACAAACCTGGGTTCACACTTGGTTCTGCTGCTTGAGAATTTTATTTTTTTACCTTGGGTTGCTCACTCCACCTCTTTGAACTTCAGCTCCCTTGTCTCTCTGGCAGGATAATGATGCCCATCTCACGGGGTTTTCTGAGAGAAAAGCAAAGCGCAGATGCCCTCTTGCAGCTTAATAAATATCACCTCCCTCTCCTCTCTACACCTTGCTGAGGGTCCTCATCGCCTAGTAAATCAGGATGCAACTCCTTAAACCCACATTCCATACTCTTCCACTGATCTCTGCCACCTCTTCCCACAGCCCATCCCCAGGCAGGTGTGAGCCCGCAGGCAGCCCCTGGACGCCCCAGGCTGTGCCTGCACGTGCTTCCCACCACAGCCTCCCTCTCTGCCCATCCAAGCGTGGCATTTTCCAAAAGGCCCAGTGTAAGTCGCCCCTCCACGAGGAAGCCTTCCTCCCCTGATTAGTACAGTACAGTGTTCATATGGTGCTGCCAGAGTCTATGTTAATTTGAATAATGCTAATTTATGTCGTGTTTTTTTAATAGTTCTCCCATGATGTGAAAATCTTAAAATGTGAATCTTCAAAAAGTAAAATCACAAGTTGCATGCTATTAAAATTGGCAGGCCCGAGAGTTTATAAACAGTGTCTACACTACCTCCCCATGACGCCGATACCACGCCACTCCCGCTGCCGAACAGAAGGCCACCTGTGTGGATGAGGCAGGAACTCTGAGGGCTGAGGTCTTTTTGAAGACATCCTTCCTCTAAAATGTGACCTCTGGGACATCGCAATCTAGCACTTGCTGCATCTTCGTGATGGGGCCAGGCGGGTCCTGCGGGGATCCGTGCACATGTGCCGGCCCAGCTTGCTCACAGGCCTCATGGTCTAGTGCAGTCCCACGAGAGGCTTCCCTCTCCCCAGCCCTGGCACGCTCCACAGACTGGGGCCAAAGAAGAAAAAGCTACCCAAGTTCCCACCTAGGTCTCTATCGGGTCCACTTTCCAGCAGAGCAATGTCAATTTCGTAAAGTGAATAAAACTCTCCTTTACCCAAAGCAAGTGGGTTTTAATTTGTCAGGGAAAAGGTCAAAGCTGTGTTTATTATCAAGGTAGCTAAGAGTTGACTGTACGCTGGCAGGTCACATACAGGGACTTCTTCCTTTTAGAATAGATAGTTTCAGTCCAATTCAAATACTTATTGAGGGCCGCTCTGTGCTACGTCTGCCCCTGAATGTGCCTGACAATTCCTTAAGGTAAAGCATCCATGTTAAGAAAATGATTTTCCACCATACTGACTGAATTATGTTTATAATTCAGAACGCTGAGCTCATAACAATGAGGGAGAGCTGGGTTTCCATGCTCGCTGTACTCTGAGGGGATAATAAAGCCCTTTAAGCAGTAAGCGCCCCTGCAGACAGATGTCCTCTGGAGGGGTCAGAATGGCCAGAGATAAGTTCCACCGGCCATGGACGGCGCCGGTGCCCACTGAACGGTGCGCTTCTTGTCCACGCAGTGGTCGACGTCTATCAAGGCTGGTGTGGCCCCTGCAAACCCGTGGTGAGCCTCTTCCAGAAGATGAGGATTGAGGTTGGCCTGGACCTGCTGCATTTTGCATTAGTAAGATCCTCTCTTAGCAGCGTGTCACATGACATTGTAAAAAAATTAAGAATTTAAAAATAGGAAGAGGAAGTGCAAGCTGCCTTTACCAGATCATTGAAAGGACACCAGTTGTGGATTTTGGGGTGGCTATCAGTCATGATGCTTTATA